ATCAGACATTTTAATGATAGATACTTAGGCTCTACCTGTAGTGAAATACTACAGTCAATATATAATTCACCAAGAGATGTTAACAAGGTGCCAGATAAGGTTATAATCTAAGAGTCATGATTAGATACTTAGGCTCTACCTGTAGTGAAATACTACAGTCAATATATAATTCACCAAGAGATGTTAACGAGGTGCCAGATAAGATTATAATCTAAGAGTCATGGTTAGATACTTAGGCTCTACCTGTAGTGAAATACTACAGTCAATATATAATTCACCAAGAGATGTTAACAAGGTGCCAGATAAGATTATAATCTAAGAGTCATGGTTAGATACTCAGATATCCAAACTTGACTGTTAAAGTATAAAGCTGAAAATAGACTATTTTCAACATAAGAAACTGTGGGATCTAATTGACTTGATAAAATTAGAGCATACAGCTTAGTCTCCCAAAATTTTTTCAAGGCTTATACTGAATTATTTCTCTTATGCAGAGATACTGTTAACAGGTTTGTTCAGGATGGACGTAACTTTGTTTGTATCACGATGACGCACGGAGCTCTAAAGGTCGATAAAAATTAATATATGTTCTAGTAAGTTCAGTAACTCATCTGCAGAAAGCAGAAGTGATCATAAAAATTATTCAGTAAAACTGGAGATGAACCGCTACATATTGAGAGATAACTTATAGTACTTACTGCACGCTTGGCCACATCTAATCAAAGTGAATGCTAAAAGTAAAATTCAACTTTTAGGGAATGGATCAGCCAAAGAGCCTAATGAAGTATTCAGGATAAAACCCATTACAGTAATGTTTAAAACAGAGCACATCCACACCAGCAGTAGCATGTTGAAGAAAGATAATCATGTTAGATAAGATAAACATGCCAACAATTAAAGCAATCAAAAAACATTCATGCAATAAGCTGCAAAGATTTATAGAATCCTTGAAAATAAAAAATATTAGTCAGGAAAAGATGAAAAAACAAGAAACAAGAAACATTAACTGGTAAATAATTAAGAAAAATGATCAATACAACCAGTGTTTGGTGTTACATAACTTGTAATACAGTGTAACAACTACTCACCAGTACAACCATAACACTAAACACTGGCTGTACTGATCAGTAGTTGTTACAATGTATTACAAGTTATGTAACACCAAACACGATGAGTAGTTGTCACACTGTATTACAAGTTATGAGTACAGCCA